AGACGCTTACTCCTTGGAAGGAAAGTTATGACCAACCTAGACAGCATATTAAAAAGCAGAGACATTACTTTGCCAACAAAGGTCCGTCTAGTCAAGGCTATGGTTTTTCCAGTGGTCATGTATGGATGTGAGAGTTGGACTATAAAGAAAGCTGAGCACTGAAGAATTGATGCTTTTGAGCTGTGGTGTTGGAGAAGACTCTTGAGAGTCCCTTGGACTGCAAGGAGATCCAACCAGTCCATCGTAAAGGAGATCGTCCAGTGTTCACTGGAAGGACTGATGTTGAAATTGAAACTCCAATACTTTGGCCACCTGATGTGAAGAGCTGACTCATTTGAAAAGACTCTGATGTTGAGAAATATTTAAGGCAGGAGAAGAAGGGGACAGAGGATGAGATGGTTGGATGGCCTCACCAACTCAATGGACATGAGTTTGGATAGGCTCCGGGAGTTGGTGATGAACAGGGAGGCCTGGCATGCTGCAGTCCATGGGATCGCAGAGTCAGACACGACTGAGCGACTGAACTGAAACTGAAAGGGCACAAGTGTAATTAAGTTGTGTGTTACCGTTTTAAGACAAACTTCCTATAAATCCATTCCAGACAAAGAGATCTGGGCTTTATTTGCTGTAAGCCCATTTCTGAAGTCAGCCATAATTAAAACAAGTTGAAGAATTGAGAGAATGTGTGGTGCAGAGGTTTTTAATCTTTCAGAAGGAACTATAAACTAAAAGATATAATATATACATGTATGTACAAACTCAGCGGGAGATGAATGGATGAAATTATCTCTTATGGAGTTGTTTGGATCGAAAAATGTCAAGAGGACTAGGGTAAATTATCAGCCTCAAAATGAAGATAAATGAACCAACACAACTTCACATACTTGGGTACCGAATTTGCCCAGGGCTGTCTCCATCTGCAGGGAAAAATAGAGAAGGATGCAGGCAACCATTCATGTTAGCAGAGGGTTCAAAGTCTAGTTAAAGAGAAAGATAGTGAGTACCTGTCATGGGCTTAAGGATCTGCATGAGTCATTACTCTGTGCGAAGTATTTGCAGGCAGAGGGGACAGGGGATGGGGAGAGAAGTTGGTGGGTCAGAAGGAAACACTATAAACCAGAGGAGGGGAAGATCCTTAGAAGATATGGCAAATTCAGAATTTTTGTTTTACAATTCAAGGACTTGGGGATTGGTGTGCATGCGTGCTCAGTCGTGTCTGATCTTTGTCCATGGGATTCTCCAGCCAAGAATCCTGGAGTGGGTTGCCATATCCTACTCCTGCGGGTCTTCCCAACCCAGGGATCGAACCTGCATCTCCTGCATTGACCGGGATATTCTTCACCACTGAGCCACCTGAGAAGCCACTTCGGGGTTGGGTATTTCTTAAATATTTGTTTCCAAAAATATTGCTCCCAATCTGCTGGCTTATCCTCATACTGCAGAAAGGCAGATAATGCCACACTGCACTTGGAGGCCCAGACTCACTGGGTGCCCAGGGCTCAGCAGCAACTGATGGAGGAATCATCCTACCGGCTGCCCCACTTGGCAGGGCCACATAAGCAATTTCTTGTTAATTTATTTAAAAAGTACCGTGTTTGAGCTAACACTTGACTGCAACAGGAGTTAGCTCTAGCAGACTGCCCTGGAGGGCTATGTAAATAGCTACAGTACTTGAAAAATCCCCAAATCAGATTAGCTTGGGCATGGAAGGACAACAGAGGGTTTTCAATTTTAAGGATAGTGTTTCACGGAACTGAAGTGAGTGAACTGGACAATAAGAAATAACTTCAATATTTCTATTTCAAGGTCAGAGTATCCTGCAGACATACAATGGGATACAACATTAGGGTTAACATGAGTGGGGATATTTCTATCATTAAATATGACAGGAAATTAGGTCCAGGGTATATAAAGTGAAAAGAAACAAGTTGCACAATAATACATCTAATATATGTCACATTTTAAAAAGCTCCACTGCCTGTTTGGTGTTTCTCTTAGTTTTATTCATCTCCATTATTTCATACTCTGGAAGTTCTTTTTCGTTTCTTCCCACAAAGATTTAACAGCCTTATTATATGCAGTTCTCCCAAGCACAGACTCCCTCTAAAAGCAACAGGACTAGAAAAACCATCAGAACCCACTGAAAAGATCAAATGCATATTCAGAATTGGACATCAAATATTTAAGGATCATGAAACACAGAACTCTACTCACCCAGTGTTTGCTGACTAACCCACAGCAGGTGGCAGACTTGGATTCAATCAATTCTTGAACGTCTCTGGAACCTGTGAATTCCCCATCTTACCAATTATTTCACTGAAGGCCTGAAAATACACCCACTCCCATTCTTTCCACAGACGTAACCAGAGACAAAATGCTATTTCCATGTTCCTTTAAGACCAGGGCTTTGTGGGTTTTACTGGTGGACCCTGGCAGGTTTGATAATTGCATGGTTAACTGTGGATCTTTAATGAGAAAAGGTACAGATTACCATTGAAAGTAAATTATAAGAGGGAGGTGGGAGGGGGGGAATCGGGATGGGAAATACATGTAAATCCATGGCTAATTCATGTCAATGTATGACAAAAACCACTACAATACTGTAAAGTAATTAGCCTCCAACTAATAAAAATAAATGAAAAAAAAAAAGAAAGTAAATTATATTGTCTATGTAGCTTCTCTAACCTAGAGGAAAAAAGCTGTGGAAATTCAGGGAGATACATACATACACTTATACACACACACGATAGTTAAGTATCTGAAGCATCAATATCTATGCTTGCTTTATTACTTCTAAAAATAAAGAGTATTGGAGCTATTCTTGTCTCTACAGAATAGCACTGTAAAACTTAGAATTCTGATGTAACTCCTTTAAGGGCAATGCTAAGTTCAGACGGGAAATTGGCTTTCATATCTATGATCAAAATGACTTAAACCACTTGCATTTATTCATCATTAAGCATCCAGAACTTAGAAACTATGCTAAGTTATTTTAAAATACCACAACTAAAAGGAATGGTACACATCTCTTCCACAATATTTCAGTTTCTTTTTCTGGACTAAATCACAATAAATGCTTCAACAGGCTGCAGTCAGCAAGCCCAGCTTTAATATTCATTGTCAAGTAACTCCTGTTTCCTGAAGGAATTAATGAGTTTCCCAGGGCCCAGGCTCTCAAGGCTATCCTCACCAGTGCTATGCTGTCTAACAAACTGTTCTTTGGATGCAAATATATCATGAGGCTTAAAGACAATAGATCTCTATACAAAGATGAACATAACTCAGTGTGAAGTATTAAAGTGCTATCAAGAAGTTAAATAATTGCCTATTTATTTACCATTCACCAAATCTTAACATACTTTATGTAGGTTTTACCAAGAATTCAAATAGTCCATGACAGTCACCTGATTCTTTAAGGAAGGGTCAGGATACTTGGTTTTTTCTTTTGTTGGACCCAGATGTCAATAAATGGTCAAGGCTTAAAAGAAAAACTCTTGGTAAAGCAAACTGTAAAAGGAAGATCGCTCTCCCCATCTTGGTTGCCCACCCCATCCCAGACCCCCACAACACTCCTTTAGACATTTACTTCTAACTTTTGTGTGCCCGGCCACACAGGGTGCTCCTTTGATTCCCTTAGTCCCACACCCCCAAAATTCTGATTCTGTCAGCCTGGTTTGGGGCCCAATAATTTTTGACTCTGACAAGCATCCCCAGGTGATTATAATGCAGGTATGCTCTGGACCCACTCTAAGAAACACTCCTGTAAAGCCCAGTTATTCCTCCTCAGTTACATGGACCTCTAAATACCCAGCATTTCCTCTTTATAAAACATGAATCTCCACAATCATTTCCTCAGAGCATCATTCAATTAGCTCACTTTATCGGCAGACCAGCCACCAAGGAAAACATCAGCATTCAAGACACGATCAACACTGAAAGTAGTTCAAATTTAGCCATCACACCGAACCTTAAAGGGGGAAAAAAAAAAAGAAAAGCTCAACAGTATGTTCATTTCGCTCAGAGGTTTCCAACACATTTTATTTTGCAGACCACCAGTTTGTAGCTTCTGAGAACCGACATGGTTATCAGTCCCTACCCAATGTCCAGTTAATTTCAGTTCTGCTGCAGCCCCTTGGTTCTACACACTGAAGTTAATGGCTTGAGTTCCAGTAACATGTGCGGAGAGGCTGCGCTTTGGCTCCTGAAGGAGGACGTGTCCCAGGTAGCGCCTCTTCCAGGGCTTTGTTCCCACGTGGTGGTTTCCTTTGGCAAGAAGTTGAGCCATTCTCGACTTTGGTGCCTGTAGGCAGGAAGCGCTCAGAAGCGGGCGGTGGGACATGCGGGGACAGTGTGACACGTGAGGAGAGGAGCCTCTCCTACTGGTTCAGTAGGTGAAAATAAAAGGAAGCCTCTGCTTTTAACGAACACGGATAAACACCTTTTTAGATCACCTATTTGTTCTAGAACTACAAAATTTAATTCAAGAAAATATAGGTCCCGTGAAAGACTTAAAAGTTTTATAAAACTAAAATCTAGTTTTCCCCCAATAAATTGTATTTTAGCCAAAACCCTCTTGATGCTTCTAAAATAATACTAAATGGGGCATCTGATTATACAAGAGCAATAAAAAAAATTAAATATTTATTTGAATAACAAGTTGAAGTTCAAGCTGCATGGCTGGCCAATGCAGGTTTCCACACAGATCACAGGAAGCGTGCACGGAAAAGTACTGGCGCAAAGGACAAAATAATGCTAAGAATCAGGCTAAACAGCTGGATTTTAAGGAAACAAAAGGTCTGAAATCACTATACAAAATATAAAATGTATTAAACACGACTATCCACAGAACAGTCTTTATTATTGATTATATTTAAAAATTATTTGTGTAGTTAATTATATGCTGACTTGTAAATGAGTATTATACATGAACCCCCTTTCAGAGGCAATTCCTTGCTGTGCTATTGAACATCTAATTACATTGCAAAAAGTGTCCTTTTTTGCTATCAATAAAGAAAACAGTTAATGATACTACGGCAAGTATTAGGAAGGCTACAAAAAAAAGAAAGAAAGAACATTTCTTTTTTGTCTTCAAAGTGCTTTCCATGCAGAGTTAAGCACTTGCCTGGTTTAGCTGAATGCACTCTTGGGTCAAAGAGATGCTCCTGAATTAGAAGACTAGAAGGACTCATGCAACCCTCTTGCTACTGGGACACTGCTGTGTCACTCCCTCACCAATCCTGTCTTTCCAGAATACCACCAGAATACCATTCCATACACTTCAAAAAGGATCAGGCTGATAATGATAAATATACATAAAATGAAAAGACACAAACTGCTATGACACTACGACAGGTAATGCCTGTGCTACGTGAAAGCACCTTTAAAAAGAGCCTACTCGGCAAGAGATTAAGTGTCTAAAGATTCAAAATGAATCAACAGTATTGGATAACAATATAATTCTCAACTCAGAAGCTGCCTCAAGATTAGGTGCATCTTCAGTTAATGTAACGGGAAAAAAAGGCAATGGATTTTATTTGATTAATTGCATCCACTCACAAATCGACCTAAGGTCACCAGATGTGTAGACACAATGAGATTTTTCGTTGTTGTTTATAGTCTTTAATTGAAATGATGATAAAGGAAATAGAGCTATTTAAAAACAAAACCACACAGCTGCCTTGGCCTAGATTACGAGGTGGCACCGGGCGTGGGGTTCACATTCTGGGTGGCCACCTGCGGTGCGACCTCAATGATCCGGGGCTTGTCTATGATCCTGGCTGTGCGGTTACCCTTCTCCACGATCCCAATAATCCATGCTTGGTGGCCTTCACCATACTTGGGGGACTTGATCTCTGCGCAGAATCGAGCTGCTTGCTCACGCGGTAGACAGATCAGGAGGCCGCCTGGCAAAAGGGAAAGAAGAAAAAAGGAACACTGTTAGCGGTGATGCCACTGTCTCCCCAGAAGAGGTCTGCACTGCCCGCATTTATTCCACAGACTGCACTGTGGAGTCGCTAAGTGATTCCTTGCTCAACTCCTACAATATTTCAAAACACACACAACAACAAACTTTAAGTCATGAAAACACCCTCCTTGTGAATCATCGATGCTGTGTAGGAGTGAAGTGTCTGAGGCGCAGTAAGGTATGTGGAGCCAATCTTTCCCAGGCACCACTGTAAGGATTAACAAAAGAGAACTTTTCATTTTCAATCTGATTCTCTACATGGAGTCCTCAGTTTACCAGAAAAGGCTTTTCATGTTTTTTGTTTTTAATTTAAAAACTAAGGCCATAAAAGTGTGTGGGCCTCAAAGTATCTAGGTTCTGTCACTGGCTCTGTCATTAACTTCAAAACAGAAAAATACAAAATATGTGAAAATAATCCCGAGTAGCTAGGCCAGAATAATTTCATGTATTTGTAAGTAGAAGAAACATAATTGGGAAAAAAATATATATGACCTTTTACAAAAAATGAGAAACTTCCCATTTTTTAATAGAGACAGACTGTTATAGGAATATTCATTAGTTTATTCACACTGATTCCACACCTGCCAGGCAGCAGGTGCTGTTCTACCAATAGTCCAGCTCCCTCTTGGAGCATACTTCGAGGCAATGGATTTTTGTAATTTTGAGGTCAGGAAGTGGCAGGGTCCTCTCTGGCTGAGAGGCCCATCTGAGATGATCCCCCCCATCCCCGCCCCCAGGGCTGGTGCCTGGGTGGGGCTTCGTGGTCTTAGCCTCCAGGGGTCAGAATTTCTCATGACCAGGCCCACCTCAGATTGACTAACCTAGGGCTTCAGTCTAGGCATGGGAACTTTACTTAATTCCCAGATGTTTCAACTCTTTTACCAGGACAGGGAAACAGTTACTGAGTTATAGAGGAAGAATAACAGAAGTAAGAGAAACCAGGGGGAGGGAAGGTATGGATGGGGGATGGAACTGAAAGGATGAAACCAATCCCAATAAAGGAAAAAAAAAAGGGACAAAAAGAAAAATGGTAATTTGGAGATATCATGTACTATTTCATTCTTAAAACAGCAATTTTAGACTTCTGCAAGGAAAAAATACAGCCTCGTCAATGTAACCTATGGATACACTGGCTATTTCTTCAGTTTCCAATGGAAACTGAGTGATGACCTATTTTCCCCATATCCTTCCTTCTTCCCATTGCATCACCAAACACACAAACAATGGACTGAAAACAGCGCTGCTTATCACAGGAAGGATGGCCAGACACACCGTGGCTGAGGGCAGCAGGCTGAAGATCCTCCCAGCCAAGACCTCACACCTTGGGGCCCTGCTCCCAGACCTGGCTTCCCCCTCCTCGGGAAGGTCCCACTGGCCTCACTAGCATTAACCTCTGACCCGGGCCAGGGCCCTGGTACCTGATGTCTCTGGGCAGGTCCCATGCATGAGCCCAAACATGTTTCCGCAGGCCTTGCTCACAGCTGCCATCTTGGCCAGGACGGGAAGGTTGTGAATCACAAAGGATACCTCGTTCCTCTGCTGTTTGGCCAGGTTCTGTGCATGGCCCAGAATCCCAAAGCCCGTAATGTCAGTAGCCGCGTGGGCATTGAACGTGTGCATGAGTCCTGCCGCTGCCAGAGAACAGAGAAGCCTTTGACATATGGTATCGTGAACAGACTCCTAGAAAACACCCCTCCTCAACTAAAATCTTACAGACGCTTTGGTCTCAAAACTGCTAAATCGTCAGGAAGACAGCAGACAGGAATGATGAAAGCTGGATTTTAAAGATCGGTAAAACCTGGAGTGAAATTCTGAAAGCTGATTTTGTAGCTCATTTTGAATCACTCAGAACAGCAGCTTCAACCAACAGTAAAGCCCTAGTAAACTATCTGTAGAGAGGAAATGCTACCTCAACAGAAGATAAACCTGTCATACTCTCCTAAAATCAAAGAACAAGACCTTTTAAGACTGTCTGATCTAAATTCAAGGTACATTCCTGGTATCTGAAAGGTTAATCTTTTATTTTTTAATTTAAAAAATTAATTTTTATTTTTTAGAATAGTCTTAGGTTTACAGAAAACTTAGCAGAAAGTTGCTGTCCTGTCCCTGCCCCTACCTGTCTCTCCGAGGAACAGCCAGCATCAGGGTGCTGCCATGACAGGTCAGCACTCATACGTTACTGTGAACTCCAGTTCAGTTTACACTGGGGTTCACTCTTGGCGTCTATGCGTGCAGCAGCTGTATGAACTCGCCTATCCAGTCATTAGAGTATCATACACAGTCTTTTCACTTCCCTGGAAATCCCAAGTTCCACCTTTTCACCCATTCCTTCAACCCCTGATCTTTCAATTTTCTCCTTCGTTTTGCCTTTTCTACAAGGTCAGAGTTGGAGTTATACAGTATTTGATCTTTTTGGATTGATATCTTTCATTTAGTCATGTGTCCTTAAGGCTCCTCCATGTCTTGATAGCTCTTCTCTTCAGTACTGAGTAATACTCCACTGTTTAGATGCACCATTTTATTTATATATTTACCAACTACCGAAAGGCTTTAATATTTATATTAATTTATATAAATTTATATATTTACCAACTACTTCCAAGTTTTGGCAATTCTGAATAAACCTACGACAAACATTGACGTGCATGAGACAAATGCTCAGGGCTGGTGCACTGGGAAGACCCAGAGGGATGGGATGGAGAGGGAGGCGGGAGGGGAGATCGGGATGGGGAACACATGTAAATCCATGGCTGATTCATGTCAATGTATGGCAAAAACCACTACAATATTGTAAAGTAATTAGCCTCCAACTAATAAAAATAAATGGAAAATAAATAAATAAATAAAGCTAAGGGAAAAAAAAAAAAGCAGCTGTACCACTTTGCATTCCTATCAACAATGGGTTGCTCCACACCCTCACCAACATTTGGTATTGACTTTAGCTATTCCAGTAGATGTGCAATTCCCTAATGACATATGATGTGGCATATCTTGTCACATAATTATTTGCCATCAGTATATCTTCTTTGGTGAGGTATCTACTCAGATCTTCCCCCTGTTTTTTAATTGGATTTTCTTATTGTTGGGTTTTAAGAGTTCTTTGAAAATTCTGGATACCAGTCCTCTGTCACATGTGTTCTGTAAAGATTTTCTTCCAATCTGTGGCTTGTCTTTTCATCCTCAGTCTCTTCTATAGAGAAGTTTTTTATATTAATTAAGTCCAACTTGTCCATTTTGTCTTTTATGGATTGTGCTTCTGGTGTTGTCTCAGTAGCTATCATCAAACCCAGGATCACCCAAGTTTTTTCCTATGCCATCTTCTAGGAGTTTAGCAGGTTTGCATTTTACATTTAGATCTACAATCCATTTTGAGTTTATTTTTACGATTGTTTTAAGACCTGTGTCCAGATTCACTTTTTACCTATGGATGTCTAATTTTTCAAGAACATTTGTTTAAAAGATTTATCCTTCTCCTTTGAATTACCTTTGCTCCTTTGTCAAAAATCAGTTCAACTATACTTATTCGGGCCCATTTCTCAGCTTTCTATTCTATTCCATTGATCTCTCTTTTTAAACCAACAACAGACTGTCTTGATGTCTGCAGTTTTCTTTTTTTTAATTTTACAATTATTCTCCAATTAGATTTGGTTTATTATTTTTATTTTACAATTATTCTCCAATTAGATTTGGTTTATTTTTTTTATTTTTATTTTTTATATTGTAGTGGTTTTTGCTATATATTGACATGAATCAGCCATGGATTTACATGTGTTCCCCATCCCGTTCCCTCCTCCCGCCTCCCTCTCCATCCCATGAAGTTTTATATGAAGTCTTGAAGTCAGGAGGTGTCATTCTTCCAACCTCAACACTGTGTTGGCTGTTCTGGGTCCACTGCTTTTCCATATAAACTTCAGAATCAGTTTGCTGATACTCACAAAATAACTTGCGAGAACTGCAACTGGTATTGCATTATACCCACAGTTGGGAAGAACTGACATCTTGACAATACTGAGTTCTATCCATGTGCATGGAATACCTCCATTTATTTACATCTTTAATTTGTTTCATCAGTTTTATAGTTTTCCTCATACAGAGCTTGGACATGTTTTTAGAGTCACACCTATGTATTTCATTTGGGGCAGGGGGGAGTAACTGAATTGCTAATTTTTAAAAACTAAATGTCTTTCTCATGAAATGAAATATGCCCTATGTTTACAGAAGTGCTCTGGGGTAAATGCTTTCTCTTTTTTTTTGGCTGCACTAGGTCTTCGTTGCTGCGCTCAGGCTTCTCACTGCAGCGGCTGCTCTTGTTGCAGAGCACTGACTCTAGGGCGTGTGGGCTTCAGTAGTTGTGGCATGCAGGCTGAGTTGCGCCATGGCATGAGGAATTTTCCAAGACTGGGGACTGAACCTGTGTCCCCTGCACTGGCTCGGTGAATTCTTATCCACTACACCACTAGGAAAGACTTTCTTTTTGATATACATTTTCTCCCTTTGGGCTTCCCTGGTGGCTTAGAAAGTAAAGAATCCACTTGCAATGCAGGAGACCTGGGTTCTATCGCTGGGTCAGGAAGATCCCCTGGAGAAGTGAATGGCTACCCACTCCAGTATTCTTCGCTGGGAAATCCCAGACAGAGGAGCGTGGCAGGCTGCAGTCCATGGGGTCCCAAAGAGTCGGACACAACTTAGCGACTAAGCACAAGTACATAAAACCTCTCTTTTATCTTTCCTTAGACCTGAATCTTTTACTTAGGTATATCCTCAACAACACATGCTGAGTGAAGAGTTGACTCTATTCTGGTTCATAGTGCTAGCTAAGCAACACTGAGAACAGCCCGTCCTATTAACACACCTACCTATACCTGGCACAGTGGGGCAGTCAAGGACACTCAACAAAGCCGTGACCTACACTGCAGCTCTTCCCAGTGCCGTCCTAGACAAGCTCTGAGGACCAGAGTAGACAAGCGGACACGCTGAATCCTATGGTCAGGAAGTGTGTGTCAGGCACTCAGTCATGTCTGACTCTCTGTGACCCCGTGGACTGTAGCCTGCCAGGCTCCTCTGTCCATGGAATTCTCCAGGCAAGAATACTGGAGTGGGTAGCCATTCCCTTCTCCAGGGTATCTTACTGAACCAGGGATTGAACCAGGTCTCTTGCACTGCAGGCAGATTCTTTACTGCCTGAGCCACTAAGGAAAAGGGATTCTACTTTTAAGGTATTGGTCACTACTTCTTCTCTTATAGGGAATGACTGTTGCTAATTTTTTGTTGTTGCTAATTTTTATTACAAAAATTTCAATGAAACACAGAAGCAGAGAGAGGAGCACACCACAATGAACTTCCACATGCCTGACAATACCCAGCCTCAGGCATTACCACTGATCTGCTGGGGTCTCCTCTTTTCCTGCCTACTTGTTGGGGGATGTGAGGAGCGCAATAGGAAACTTTACAGCCAAACCCAGTCATACCCCTTCAGCTATCAGCATTTTTGTGTGTGCCTCTAAGAGATAAAAAACTTGTAACACAGCCACAATATCATTATCATACCAACAAAACACACATTATATTTGACTGCTCTCTCTGAAACTTCATAACAGTTCCCTCTCAGTGTCATTTATTTGTAGAAACTGAGCCACTTTTTCCTGAAGCATCTCCTCCATTCTGGACTTGGGGATCTTCTCCAATGTGGGCATGTTCTACCATCTTCCCTATTTCCCGTACTGTTGTTTAGGAAAAGGCTCGAAGAGACTCAGGTTCATTTTTTTTTTCTGGCAAGAATCCTTCATGGGTGATGGGGAGGGTAATATCAACACGAACCTTTCACCAAAAGCTTTTAGCAGCCACTGATGTTTGGTGGTTGAGGTTCATTTAATCAAGGGGACAGCAAAAATGGCAACTTTTACAATTCAACCAGTCTTCCGGTATTTATTAGATGTGACTTCGATAAAGAATTATTTTAGAAAATATGGTTTCCCTGAAATTCACCCCATACAAGACAGGTAAAATAAGAGGATGACCACTTTTATTTCAGAACAAGTTGGTGACCCAGGTGACCAAAAAGTTTTAATTACCATTTGTTTAGATACTTGATATGGTCACTCTGGTCTTTGATATTCAAACTGTACTCTCCACCCCCATGACAAGTGGGAGCCCCTTGACATTGTGGGGATGTGACATCACCACCCCTTCCAGGCACAGGAAATCAAGCTTAATCTTCCATACTTCCTGTCCCAGAGCTGGAACCTGTCATTTCCACAGGGAGTCCTGGTACTTTTTAATGGAAAACAGTAACTTTCCGACTTGAGGCACTAAGACTTCACCCTTGCTGGTTATCATTGCTTCTCGGCCTTTTCAACAGGTTCAGAAATCAACATTTTCAGAGAAAAAAAAATAATCCTGAGTTCACACTGATAATTCAAAATTAAAGATGACAGTTTTTAATTAACTTAGCTTCTCTGATTTTCTTATTTCTCTCTGAAGTCTTTGTTCCTAACTACATTCACTTATTTATCTCAATATAACAACATTCTCACAAACTCACTGACAGTGAAATATTTTTGTGGGTGTCTTAGGGATGTACCCAGAAAACACCAGGCTCAAAGAGATTTGAAATAATTCTTCTTCATGTCATTTTGCCACTAACTTAGACATATGTTGGACAACCTTAAAAAATTTGGTTTGGATCCATAAAATATGCTCTTTTCATTTAAGTACAGAAAAATACACAAAACATTTATTTCCAAATTGAACTTATGAAACAAAGCATGTTCAGAGGGTCTGCTTCCTCCCTGTTCTCTTATATATGTAATAATTTTTGTTAATGATTTATTTTTCCACTGTTAAAACAAGTATTATTGCCTCATATTTATTTATGAACACACAAAATGTAGCATACTACATATATGCTGTCCTTTGCTTTTTTCACTGGCCGCATCCTACATATAGCTTCCTGGTAATAAAGCTCTCTCATTCCTTTTTACAGGGTATAGTATTCCACTCTGCATGGAGACTAGATAATCCCAGTCAGTCACCTAGTGATGGACCTTTAGATTGCATCCTTCTTTTGCAATTATAAATAGTGCTTCAACGAATAGTGTTGTACACATGTTATTTCATATTTTGGCCACTGTAGCTTTGGGATAGACTCACGGAAGTGGGAATTCTGGGTCAAAATAAACATACACTTAATTTTGCTACATATGACCAAACACGCCTCTGTAAGTTTTCTACTATATCCCTATTAAGAATGTCTAAAACTTAAGGATAGGGGAATCTTAAATGCACAAATATAAGTAAAAATAAATCCATTACAAATCACCTTCTAACTGTTAAATTTCTTAATTTGAAAGACAAAAAAAAAAAAGACTTCTTAAACATGGCACAGGAAAAGTAGGAATGAAAAGCCTTGGTTGTAAGTGATGAGAATACCAGAAATCAAAGAACTAAATAATTACAATTCAACTTAATTTGGAATAAAGCCAAAGAAATACTCTTGGAATGCAGGAAAAAAGTTATAGAAAAATTTGATTTCAAAATAAATTGTTCAAAAGTAGGCAAAAGGCAAATCTGTTACAGCATATTGCTCTGATAGAACACCCAGCATTAAAAATCATGTGTATTAGAATTATATAATATAGAAAATAGAATTTAGTAATAATAAAAGCAAATTCCAAGGTCTTCCCCAGTGGTTCAGTGGGAAATACTATGCAATTCCACTACAGGGGGCATGGGTTTGATCCCTCCCTGGTTGAGGAACTAAGATCTGGCATCCCGCTCCATGACCTGCCCCCGCCAAATTCCAAACACAAGTAAAATGTATGCTAACCATTAGTTTACAACATCAACGATAAGATAAAAGTAAACTACCAACCAACCAAACATCGATAAAAATCTTAGAAAAATACATAAAAGTATTAACAGAAGTTATTTTGGGGTGGTGGGACTATGAACAATGTTTTTCCCTTCCTTTTTATATTTTCTAAACACTTTCCTATAATAAGCATGATCTTTTTTCCTCTAAGGCAAATCACATTTACCCTGCGCTTACGTCAAGAACACGCAACGTGTTTGGATTCCCACCAGGGCTCTAGGCATCAACAGAAGGGGTTGTGTAGTCACTGGCCAAATCTGGCTGATGGCCAGTTCCTCCAGCTAAGTTTTTTTTTTTTAAACAATGTTAAGAGAGTCATGAGAAGGAAAAAAAACCAAACAAACCAGTACAAGTGAGACTGTGGCCCACAAAGTCTGAAATAGCTCCCATCCTGCATCTCAGAAAGCTTGCTGACCTGAGCCCGGCCATACCTGTCCTGTTGAGCCTAGCCATGTTCATCATCGCCTCCTGGTACGCCAGCTCCACATCCTCCTGGGTGACCACTAACTTGATTTTATTCCACTTCTCAGGCTAATGACAGGAACACAGATGAGGGAGAAAAGAGAAAAAATGTGATCAATCTTTGTTTCTAACCACTGAAAGAGCCTATTTTTTTCCTTAGTCATCTTGAGGAGTTTTACTTATCTAATTCTGCACACAAAATTAAGTTTTCTAACTCCCCACTGCCCCAACCCCTGTGATTATCATTTTAGGTGTCCACTAGATATATCATCATGGCATCTTCTCTTGCTCTCAGCCGCACCTCTATGGTCAACACTGCAGTTTACTGGAGACGTGAACCAGCAGGACAGCTGTGAATGTCCTTAGGCTCTCCTCTTCATCTCCCCTTGTAAGCTGATGGCTCACATTTTTCATGTTTTTCGTGTAACTGTGTTAATATTCTTACTGACTCTCCCTGAATTCTGGGATCAAGTCCTCTTGTAGGACAAATGAATGGGAAAGAACTTCAAATTAGCATTGGCTCCGATGACATTGAGAGTGACCACACAGCACATCCTCTGAAATGCCACTGTCTTCCCTCTTCTTCCCCAGTCTGATAGTCAAAGAGCCTAGCATCACAATGCTGGGTTCATGACATAGAGTCGTGGTCTATTAATAGCCAGCATTCATGAATTCACTCATTTTTAGCAATACTCAATAATCTATCGCCCAACGGAAGTCTATCTCTGTGTACCTCCCTTATTCCCTGCCTCCCAGCTCTCCCCGAGAGGTAATGATGATTCTGAATTTTATACTTGTCATTTCCCTGCCTTTTGAAAAGCAGTATCCTCATACATACAGATGCCCAAACAATACTCTTTGGTTGCTTCCAACCTTTATGAAAGGGTGTCACACTGTTACTTAGTCTTTGAAACTTGCTTTTTTTCAATTCTAAGCATCTTTAAGAAATTGGTAAAAACCAAAGTCCTGTGGTCTGATTCACAAGTGGTCATACTAGATGGGAAATGTCCCCATCATTGCTGAATAAGAAGGGAAAAATATCTAAAGAATATGGCCTCCTTAGAGATTCTCTCTGCTGTTTGTCAAGCTAAGATCTATCTGGTTGATGAGTAACATAAAATTACTCTTTTTCAACTGTTTCTCAGGACTAGGGATTTCAGATGTCAATTGTAGACACTGAAAGCACTGAGATACGTGAGAATATACCACAATCATTTTTGAGTTGCTACGGCAGTGAAGAAAGTCTTAAAGGAAGAATGATTGATCATAGTGCAGTAGAAAAGTGACTCAGGATAAATATCTTTATATTCTAGATGCTTTCTCCATGAGATGATTTATCAAAATGTTCTGATTTACTAATTAGCTTAAAAAGATAAAACAAGCAACCAGAAATGACCAAAAAACTCATGACTAAAATAATTTAAATTGTCAATAAGCCTGGCCTTATTTATACCTCAAATATCAAACTTTGCACACATTCTCTTATGTATTAATTTTCAGTGATAAGATATAGCCAGCTCAGCAACTAATGAATAGATAAACTCAACTGTTTCCCAAATTCTCTTTATGGAGTACTTCTGAACCTTGAGCAGGGGCTTACCTACTTCAAGCACTCGATACATGAAACTTGGATTTAATAAAAGAATAGGGACAACTCCCAGGATTTTTGTAAGGTCTAGATTGACACTATACTCTCTGGTACTACAACTAGAAGAGTGCATTAAAAGAAGAAAAAAAAATTTTTTTTTAATATCTATGTATTTATTTGCCTGGCCAGGTCTTAGTGGCACAGGAGATCTTTAGTTGCAGCATGCAGCATCTCTAGTTGGGGCATGTGGGATCTAGTTCCCTGACCAGGGATCGAACCCAGGGCCCCCTACACTGGGAATATGGAGTCTTAGCCACAGGACCACCAAGGAAGTCCCCAAGAGCTCATTTTAGAAGACACACTGCTGCCACCAGAAGGTGAAGGTCACTTACAATATCCAGCCACTGGTGCACGGCCACGGCCACTTGCGTCCCCAAAGGTTTTGTCAGTACAAGCACATCACCCGGCACTGCGTTATCTGGCCTGAAGAAGAGAACACTGGCAGTTTCTCATCAAATTAACCAAGGAGATAAGTTCATCATCGGTTAAACAAAAGAAAGAAAAGGCTGGTGGTAAGACCACATGTGTGTTTGCAGTCACTCCTATTTAAGCCAACTACTGCCATGTATTGATAGCGAAGCTTTACCATTTACTACTGGCACGACTGGTGAACAAAACAAAACATTAAATGAAAAGTGAAGAGGCCACGACTTCAACACTCAGGACAATGACTTACTAGTTTCCCAAAAAGGCAAATTGCTTAGACTTCAAAGACATCATCAGGCCCTGATTTAGTCATGCCCTGTACTTTGCAACACAGACCTACCAGGGTTCTGAGGCAACAAGACTTCTGAAACAAACACTGTTCCTTCTTTTTACAAACACGTATGTAGCAGAGATGCAGGTGGGATTTCTCAGGCTGTTCGATTATGGGTCTAATGTTTTGGTGATTTTAGCATCAGTGTGTCAAATCAGAGTTATGACCAGTAAGTTTCCTTGGTACACAGGATCCCTGGTTGGGCCCTGTCTTAAAGACAGAAGGCAAATACCAAAAATAAAAAAAAAGGGCACCCCTAAAAACAGAAAGACTGCCCCCCTGAACAAAACTCCTGTCTCACTAAGTACCCTCACGACTAGCACTCATGTCTTTCTTGTCCTGGTTCAAAGAACTGTCCACACAGTTGTCTGGTCCCCCGACACTAGACAACAATCATCCAAGTGGGTTAAAAATCCACAGACACACCCTTTCACACTTCTGGAATTGTGAAACACATGGACCCGGCACCTGCTCACAAAACCCACTCCACAAATAGAGCTTCTGATTCCTTCAGAGAACAGGGCAAGGTGGTTTTCTTAATAAGATGTCAATCACAAAAAGTGACAACTTGTGTTAAGAGAGAAACTTCTCCAAAGACCTGGCAATGGCCCGAAGGCACATGAAAAGATGCTCTTAGCATTAGCCATCAGGGAGATGCAAATCAAAACCCACTGAGCTATCATCTCACACCCACTAAGACAGCTATTATCAAAAAAGACAGCAAACATGTGAGTGATGCTGCTACAAACATTCATGTGCAAGTTTTTTGTGTGGACATACATTCCAGTTCCAAGGGGCAGATATCTAAGAATTACCGGGTCATGTGGTGACTACTGAACCTGAGGAACAAAAGCAGCTGCACCATTTTACATTCCCCACAGCCATGGACAAGGTCTGCGATGTCGCTACATCGTCACCAAGACTTGTTTACTGTCTTTTTTTGATATCTATGTCCACACAGAAAACTTGCACATGAATGTTCATAGCAGCATCACTCACAACAGGTGGAAATAACCCAGAGGCCTGTGACCTATGAATGGATGAACACACTGTGGTCTGTCCATACAATGGAGTGTCTGTTATTCAGCCATAAAGTACCAACACATGTGCAACATGATGAACCCTGAAAACATGCTAAGTGAAAGAAGTCTGACATAAAACATCACTTGTTGCATGGTTCCATTTATATGAAACGTCCTAAACAGGCAAATCCACGAGACAGGAAACAGACTTGTGGATTTCAGGGAGTCGGGGAGGAGGGAGTTAGGAGTGGCTGCTATGAATACGAGGTTTTCTTCTGAGGAGATGAAAATGTCCTGGAATTGGACAGTGGTGATGGTTATGTAAGTCTGTGAATACTAAAAACCAGTAAATTGTATACTTTAAAAAACTGAATTTTATGTCATGCGATATTTTGGGAAGCGAACCAGGCCAGGTGACATGAAACGAAAAATGACTTACATGATAAACTCGTTGGGCTGGCAGACAGTCGTAGCCACACCTCCTAAAACAATCCAGGGGTTTAGCACTGTTTGGCCGCCCGTTACAGACGTTCCTGCCTCCTCTGCTGCATCTTTAAAACCCTGTATAATTAGGGGCATCACTTTATCCCTTTCCTAGGGTTTAAAAGGAAAATTACAAGTCACATCATTCAGCTGAAAACCCAGAAAAGAGAGTCTATACACTTACAGTTATGAAAAGATCATAAACCAGAAAAGATCATAAAACCAGAGTTTCCAGAAGGGGCAGGGAATAACAGAAAAAGGTAGGAACAGCTCACGCTGTAGCCCTTTTATCACAAGTTGGAAGAGGTTGCAGGTTACACTGTGAATGGAGCTTGGAGAAGAGAAGTGAACTCTGCAAATGTGCTGGGTGTTCAGGGCTGCCTGCATCTGAATGGGCTCTCTCAGCGGTCCTCAACCATCCAAGACCAGCTCACATGCACCCCCACGTCTGCCCCAGAGAGCTGGTCCAAGCAGAGGCCAGGAGCACATTGTGGGGGCAGACTAGGGCCTACTGAACACTCAATTCTATGCGCAGGGTGAACTATGGCAGGGGGAGGGGATGAAACCAATTACCTGTCAAAAATAACCTAAACAGGAATTCACCTCTCGGTCAAAGAACAGGTCAGGCAGCGAGGCCACAGATGCCGCTGGGGAGCATGTGAACAGTGGGACACCCCGACCCCACCACTGTCTGTGTCACCATCCAGTGACCAAAGAGAAGGGTGACGGCCTCGGTGCCACACCCTGGGCTGGAAGGCTGCTACTCACCCTGTCGGTCATTTTATTACTGACTCCAAGGAGCATCAGCATGTTGTCGCACTCCGTGACCCCCATGGCGTAGAGGTCACTGAGGACGTTGGCACAGGCTATCCTGCCCTGGAAGAGAAGGGAGACGTGAGCAAGGACCCCAGGGGACTTTCCAGGGCGGACACGGAGAGCTGGGCTGCCCAGAGGCACCCGGGAGGGGACTTTCCAGGACGTGGGCCTCAGCGGCTGAGCCTCACACACTTGCTGCCTTTCCTCCACCACAGAACCAAGCTCAGATGTTCCTGCCACCACCTCTCCTTCGCACAGCACAGAGCATTTCTGTGCTCTTAACATCAGGGGAAACCTGCCATTTATTTAGGTGCAGAACCCAGAGCAGGGAGATGGTGGAGAGAAGTGGGCATGGTGCGGATGGTTGCAGAGGAGCCAGAGTGGAAATGCTGGGAAACAACCGTCTTAAAGAAAATGTGGGAACAGTCACTTATCCTGAACAGATTCTTAAAAAGGGCCAACTTTTATTGGTTACAGAGAAGACAGGTTTTATGTACTCGGAGAAATTTTTGGATTCCTTTCCAAAGCTGTATGAGATAAACAGGAAAATCATCTTGGTTAAAAAAAAAAAAGAAATGAATAATACCTAGCCCTGAAACCAGACTGTTTTCTAAAGAAAAAGGGAGGCATTTCCCAGTAAACTATATGGTTTTATTGAAGAACTCTGAACCAGTACTCAATAGAAACGTGGTAATAAAAGATTTTCTACTGCCGACGGGAGATTGAAAAAATTTTTTACAGTTGTCTTTCTCTAAACAGGAAAGGAGAAAATGACAAACTTTACTTTACTTTAGACATAAGGGTAATCAAACTGCAAGCTACTACCACTTCCAGTGGCCACTTCATTGCTCGTTTATTGTTATGTTGTCTTACAACTTCTGGGCAGGCTGGCAGGGGGCTGGATCACCTTCTGGGACTCACTTACGAGGCAACAGGGGCAGTCTGGTCGGCATGCTGGGAGGTGCCGACCACAGGTCAGGCTGCAGAAGTGTGCTGCCCCTTCTCTGCTAGGCTCTCAGGTCCTTCAGTGAGATGCGGGCAGAGGATGCATTCTGGTTCCAGCCACCTGGGCCCCCAGTCAGGTAGGACACCAGGGGCACGGCGTGCATGGGAGCACTGCTTTCCAGGTCAGACAGCTGGGTGTGTGGGCATGAAACGGGTTTCTGGGAGCCCGCGTGCCTGTCTTGGGGCCTGGGCAGTGAACACTCCCTCCTCGCCTTATTCCCGGTGCCCTTGGCACCAGGAGGGGCCTTTGGCACTTCCTACAGATAGGATGCTCCCAATCTCTTCATCGGCTCCTCCAGAAGCTGCCAGGGTGCAAGGAAGGGTCCAGCTGGGTAGATGGAGGGGCTGCTAGCAGCACCCCCACGATGAGAAGGCGGGGGTATCTAAGCGGAGCATGATCAGCAGGGAGACCCACGGGCTACCCTGTGGAATAGGACACGGCGAGAGGAGTGACCAGAGTCAGGGTCAATGGTCAAGTTCATTGTGATGAGATGCTAAGCTCTCTATTTCTGGACAGAGACGAGCAGGATCTGTCCTGTTACAGAGGACAGTGAAACACAGGAAGGTGGAGTTAACAAATGTCAAAGAAAAACATGGACAAGGAAACAAAAGGAGAAAACTAGTAACACGTCATTCCCAGACACACTGAACAGGTGCGCCGGCAGAGGGATGCGCGCCGGCAGAGGGAGGGACGCGCGCCGGCAGAGGGAGGGACGCGCGCCGGCCGGCAGAGGGACGCGCGCCGGCAGAGGGACGCGCGCCGGCAGAGGGACGAGAGACGCGCGCAGGTACGAGAGCAGCAGGGGACGCCCCACCTTCGCCCTGCCGGCCTCACACACGGCGCCGTGTGGCAAGGGAGCAATCAAGTCAGACCCACGGTGGCAGAGTCACGGTGGGAGGAGGAACAACAGTTCGTACAGAACAAAAACAAAAAACCCACACACGCACATACAAAACCCAGCCACCACTCCAAGCCCAGCGAGTAAGCAGTTGCAGATATAAAAGTACGTCGGGTCAAACTCACCATCATGTAAGGGTCGTCGACGATGGGATAAATGTAATCTGTGGTTTGAACCAAGGAAAGGCCGCCGTGCCTCAGAGGAATAACACAGGTGTCCATGCCGATGCCTGCAAAGAGGGGAGTCACGGTCAGCCAGAAGTCAACAGGGAGAGTGGCGTCATTCTGTACCTTCAGTGTTCTGACTGGCGGGGCTCTGCACCAGACTCTTATGGAGCACTGCTCACTGCCAACAAAGCAATGTGTTTCCTATCAAGAAGTATAACTGAAATAAATGTGAAACAAAACCAGCTTAAGATAGCAGGCAAGAAGACAATTTGTTAGTCATGAAGACTCAACTTCAACATGGTACAATTCTGAGACTCTAATGATGCCTTGCAGAGAAATTTTCCTTTCTTTTACTGTTATCATGTGATTGGCACCACAGAGAACTTCCGTAAAGATGAGAACAGCACAGATGGAACTTGGGTTGTCTTCTCCATAGTTAGCCAAGAGTACATCTTTGGGCATCATTCTGTTTTTCAAACAGAAAATCTGTAAAATATTTGACACATATAAAATGCTATTCTACATTTTAGTAAAAAATGACCAAGAAAGGAAAAAGGACAAAGCTGGAACAAGTATTCATGGACTCCAATCAAGCTTGCACACATGCGCTGTGGTACCCACAGGATCTTACAACTGATGGACTATTTAGAAATAATTCCCTTTTCCTGAAATTGGTTTAGAAACAGTCAAGATTCAAGACTAGTTACTGTAGGTTGTATTTCTTAAAAAAAAAAAAAAAAAATCACTCGCAATGCAAACACTACAAGTTTAGACTGGCCCCCTGCCTGAATGGAGGGCTTTCCCAAAGCATTTCTCAAGGGGATGCCCCCTGGCCCTTAGGAAGCATTTCAACTTTGCAACACAATGGGCAAAGGACAAATCAGGAAAAAGTACAAAAGGAAGTAGGTAGATTCACCCAGAATCCCAGATGAAACAAGAATAAATCACACCGAATCCCACAGACAGGACTATGTGTGAGCTTTCACAATTGCCCCAGCAGACAGGCCGGGTCCCAGGGGCAGTCTGTTAAGGTCTGATCCATTATTACTAACATAGAAATAAAATCAAGTTTAGTAAAACATCACTCCGTGATGACAGGCTGATTTTTTTTTTTATTACCACACTAGATGGCAAAGCAGAAACTCTTGGTGGAAGATCCAGTTAGGGAATGGAGGATTTTGTTTCAGAATGGCAGGCCTCACAGATCTGTGCCCTCAGAACACTCATTACCAACGATCAGGAAGTGGGCGACAGTACATCTCACTTGCTGCCTGTGCACAGAAATGCCCACTAATGCCACTCTGCGGCACTCAAGTGGAAACAGGGCAAGAACCACAACTAAACTCATATGATTCTCCTGAAATCGATCACTCCAACAACTGGGTATTCCAAATACATTACTATTCACTTTGGAAAAGAGGGAGTTTCCTTTTAGGCTTTCATATAAACTATAGGACTATCCAAAGAGACACTAAAAAAGAGTTGCTGAAAGTTAGCTTTAAATATTTCCCAACATGGGAATCTTAAACTTGAATTCAATCTTCTTGATTTGTAGACCAGTTAATTTCTCTCTCTATCCAGCATCAGAGAGTGGGAACCATGACTCCTGAGCACACTCCTGGGGTTGACAAGAAGCTCCCATCACCCACGTGTCCTATCTCCACGAGGACACCACTGCATGCTTACTTAGGAGAGTCTAGCACTGTCCACATGAGAACTGCCAGCCACACACAGTAAGATATGGCAATTCCAGAGTGACACACGCTGCAACTGTAAAACACACTCAAGTTTTAAACACCTGGACCTGAGAAAAATCTTAGCTAGCATCTTGTTGCTTGCTTGCTTGCTAAGTCACTTCGGTCGTGTCCGACCCCGTGTGACCCCATAGACGGCAGCTCACCAGGCTCCCCCGTCCCTGGGATTCTCAAGGCAAGAACACTGGAGTGGGCTGCCATTTCCTTCTCCAATGTGTGAAAGTGAAAAGTGAAAGTGAAGTCACTTAGTCATGTCCGACTTGTAGCAACCCAATGGACTGCAGCCTACCAGGCTCCTCTGTTCATGGGTTTTTCCAGGCAAGAGTACTGGAGTGAGGTGTCATTGCCTTCTCCGAGTATCTCGTTAGCAGTGTTTTATATTAATTATGCATTGAAATGACATTTTTATATATTAAGTTAAAATACAATAGAATTAAATTCACCTGATATATTTTTAAAAACTATTTACTTATATCGCTGTGCTGGGTCTTAACTTTAGCATCAGTCGCAGAATGTGAATGCTTAGTTGTGGCATGTGGGATCTAATTCCTCAGGGATTGAACCCAGGCCGCCTGCATTAGAAGCAAGAAGTTTTAGCTACTAGATCACCAGGGAAGTCCCTGATTGTTTTTTAATGGGAACTACCTGTACTAGAAAAATTTAAATGACACAAGGGGCTCAGCTCATCTTTCTTAGGGACAGCACTAGTCTATAGTGACTGGTTTACAAATCCCCTATCAAATTTCAAGAAGGGAAGACAGAAAGGGTGAGCCTATGATGGGCCATGGGCTTTGAAAATGAGTATATCAAGTAGAGAGCAGGACAGAGGCACAGTGTAGGTGGGAACAAAGGAAGATGCTAGAGGAGAGGAAGCCTCAAATACAGAGCAGGGTGTCCTTAATGATCAGTGGCTGAAGGGGAGTTCTAGAAGGCTTCAGCAAGACTGAAACCATCCAGCAAAAAAATTAAAAATAAATAAATAAAAAACAACCTAAATCATCATACTACCTCCAGAGCCAGCAGCCGTCAACATGTGACAAAGCTTAAGCATCAGCAACAGATGTACCAAGTTTTTTTTTTTAAAGAATTAAAAAAAAATTTAATTTATTTGGCTGAGCTGGGTCTTAGTTGCTGTACATGAGATCTAGTTCCCTGAGCAGGGATCAAACCTGGGCAGAGTCTTAGCTACTGGAGCACCATGGAAGTCCCACATATATCAACTTCCAAGACATACTTACCATAACAGCTTGTCAGAATACAATAATCGTGTATCTTTTACAACTGTTATGCCTTATCCTTAGACTGCAGAAAACATGAATGACAGTTTTAGAAAAAATTTTAAAACATGCCAACAGACTTATGTGTATACATACATACATTATACATAAAAACACGTATGTATTATGTATGTGGGTACAGATACGGTGCACATACATACACAGATAATTTCTGATACTCAGAACAGTTGCAAACCACAGGTATTATTAGCCCATATTACAGCTGGGGAAACTGAGGCTCAGGAGGGTGAAGAAGAGTGTACAGAGTAACACTTATGTAACTCTTTCTCCTGGCCGGTTCCCTTGCTGTCACTGCTGAGCTACAACTGATGCAGCTCCTTTCCCCACAAACATGTCTGGACTGAAAAATCATGACAAGCAGTATGGTGAGCAGAGGAATGGAAAAATGTGGATTTCAAGTTCTGACCCCCACCAAGTGACAGGAAACAGGCTACCTAGCTTTCCTGAGCACCACAGGGCTTCTGAGTGCGCAGTAAGTCTAAGAGGGAGGCTACAGAGGGGAATTACTGCTTTATCCAGAAAGTTGGTTTTTTTGTTAATTTAATTACTTATTTGGCTATGTTCGGTCTTAACTGCGGCACTCAGAATCTTCACTGCATCATGCAGGATCTTTCGGAGCAGTGCACGGACTCTAGCTGCGACGCATGGACTCCAGAGCTCATGGGCTTCAGTACTTGTGGCACATGGGCTCGAGAGCGTACCGGCTCAGTAACTGTAGGCTGCAGGCTTAGCTGATTCGAGGCATCGAATAGGATCATCGAGGATCTTAGTTCCCCCACCAGGGACTGAACCTTTGTCCCCAGCATTGCAATGGGGATTCTTAACCACTGGACCATCAGGGAAGTCCCACCCATGAGGTTTTTACTGCATTTGTTGTTGCCTATTTAGTAGCTTATTTTTTCCAGACAGAGTTATCTAACGATTTTCTCAGTATATTCTCATTCCTTGCCAAGTAAGCTGACATCCACTCCACCTCATTCACATGGTATTTTTCCACACTGAGACATTAGATGAGGACAGTTTTCTTTTTCTATAATTTATTTGGCTACACCAGGTCTTAGTTGTGGCATATGGGATCTAGTTCCCTGACCATGGACTGAACATGGGCTCCTTGCATTGGAAGCTCCAAGTCCTAGCCAAGGATCACCATGGAATTCCCAAGCGCAGTTTTCTAACTGAGCTCCTAGGAGTCCTTACAGGCCCTGAGAGTGCAGGAAGTGAGTTTTCCTCTCTCCCACCCAAAGCAACTTTGCTCTATACAATCAGGAAAAAAAGGAGTATCCTGGGTTCAAAACCAATCTTATGAGACACTGTGATCATATACAGGCAAAAAGAAATGCAATTAAAACCTTATGCAGGAAAACTGATCAAGTCACATACTATAACTACAAAACATCCACAAGCTCCTAGAATATACAACTAACACTCAAAAGGCAAAGTGACCACAAGTCTTGCATCACATACTAAACAAAGCACACACAGAAGCTAATAGACATCCCAGTAGCTGAGACTTTCTTTCTGAGCTCAATGTTTGGGGAAGGGTAAACCACTAAGGACATCAGGAACTGGGTCAAGGAAACACAGCTCACAAGTCCAGATGTCAAGCTGGGGTCAAGTATAGACCCAGTCCAGTGTTTCCGCCTTCTGTGTCTGGAGCACTTTTCTCCTCCCTTCTCCCTAGAACTTTTCTAGTGATGCTTGTTGCAGAGAAGCCCTGAGTCCCCCCAACCCAGTCACTGCTCCCCCAGTCCTGTACAAGAATGCGGAACCACTAACTATCCTAATCTGATCTAATAAAAAATACCTTTACTGTTAACAGTTGTCTCAATCATATAGAGTTTAAAAACGGTTAAAGCACATTTCTTGATGCTTTTCAAATAGTTCCTCCAAATAAGTTAAAAGGTAAGTTACCATTGCTTTGCTCTGAATCCTTCTTGCAGAAAAAAAAATTTTTTTTAAAAGGCCAACGTGCTAAGAGAGAACTCCAGCTTTTGACTCACTGTCAACAATGCATCCAAGATGCTCTACTCGGGAAATATGAAAGAAAACAGTGGTTCACATACCAAGTCTTGGCATAACTGCTCCAAGAAACTGCTCATCTTCTTGGAAGTGGTTCTCCTGTAAGGACTCCAGCAATTTCTGCAGGACATCTTGGGGCACTTTGCAGCCAGTGCCCTTCAGTTCAGTGAATCTGGTTAACCGGAAACTCTTGTCCAATTCATAACTTTCCGGGTTAAAGGACTCCCGTGCAGACATGGTTCTTGGGCCCACACACCTCACAGCTGGGCTCCTCCCCTCCCTCTCCTACGCAGCTGGTTTCTTTATAGATCCACCTGGGTAGCACCAAAACACAAAAACACCATTGAGTTCTCACCAGTAGCTGCCAAGAATCAAGTGAATATATGACAGTGAAAAGTAAACATGAAATGGGCTGAAATCACCAATATCATAGGAAAACAGCCATCTGGGGCCAGAATGGTTTGACACAGTGATGTATAAGCCAGGTAAGTCTTAAAAAGTGACTGTACCATTAGAGACACATTCTGCATCTATGTTGTTATAACTGTGGCTGCAAGGGGCAGCCAAGAAAACAGAACTAGGAGCCATCTGGCTTATAGGACACAGTGCCATCTTGAGTAAAAAGTCCCAAACGTTCTTCTAGCTGGTGGCATTACAGGAAAACGAGTCACTTCACCTATCAACCAGGAAGTACTATGGTTTAGAAATAAGATGCCCTGACTAAAGCGACTTTTCAGGAAGACCTTTTGCTATCTAAAAGAAAAATAAAATGCCTAACAGGCATTTCTGGTGAAATGGAAGTTAATGGATATGCATTTGATGAAATTCTTTATGATGCTAAATTTGATTTTAGAAAAATGGATTTTGATTCTGAGTCAGAAGTACACAAAACAATCCAAAACTAATAGGAAGCCTGTCTAAAGAATACAATTTGAAACCTGGAATGGCTGTTTTAACACAGCAAGGTTCATTTTCTACAACAGAGCAGTGGAAAGTTAGTTCTCTGATATTTTAATTCAGTGCTATTTCCTAGAAAGCAAACGCTGCCCAACTAACTAGTAAACACAAAATCACTGACAAAATATATTACTACTCCTTACTGTTTCATTGCAGAACTAAAGTGATAAACTGTACTAAATCACAGCATTTATAGTTTGGGGTACCACTGGAAGTTTCTGGAACAAATCTTTCTAAGTTTGAAGGCTTGGGGCTAAATGAAAACCTTTCCTGCGCTCCCGGGGTTTATAAACTTCCAGACTGATGCTTTATTGGGTACAGAGTAACAGACACCCCAAGTTTTAAGGTCAGTTTCCCCTATAAAATTCATGATTAAGAACATAATTCCCATTTATAGAGTTTTCGATCCCTTGGGAAGCACATCACTCATTTAAAATAAATCTCACAAAGCCTGAGTTCAGGCAGTCATCCAAACTGTCTTTACAAGACCATGTTTGGGGTGAGCAATGATTTTGGTTTGAAACCTACACCTGTGAAGGAGTGGACCTTCCGACAGTACAAGAAAACACCTGTGCAAAAGGAGGGTGCAGGGCTAATCAAGTTACAGACATGGGAATTCTGAAGCCATTCTACAGCTGGGAAAGTCCACCAACACTTTGACTTGGAAGGGTTTGGAACAAAAACAGTCCTTTCCTCACCAAATGCCTCGCACTTAACACCGCCTCACTCCTACCAGGGGCAGAAAAAAAAATCCAACTCACGAGGCATCCAGTTATTTTCCTACCTCCAATCCCTATCCAAAAATAAAGGCGGGGAGGGGAATCTGGAATTCAGGAGACTAGCTTCCTTTTAAATCTTCCAAGATTTTTAACGGCAAAAAGTTTAAAACACCTTAAGCCCAGAAGGCACTCAAGAGTTTCCAAATTCCAAATAGAATAAGGGACCTAAATCACACGTATCTGAATTAAAAAAAAAAAAAAAAGAGACTGGCGGGGGGGGGGGGCTGCAGAAAGGTGTAATTAATGGCGCGCGGGGGGGTGTTGCATAATATGCAGTCCACTAGAACCCCAAAGCCGCCTGTTTACACCTTTAAAACAATGACATGAATATTTAAAGCAACAGTTAACCCTTTCTTTCCGAGTCACGTTTTAGTTTTTTCAAATGAGGGCGCCAAGCGGGCCGCAGAGCCGGGGGAGCGCGGTGAGTGGGGGCGGGAAAGAGCGCAGCCCCGGCCCGGTACCTACCTCCCCCAAGCTCCCCAAGCCCAGGAAACAAACAACAGGGAGGACGCGGCGACGTGGGCGCAAGGGGCGCGTGCCCAGCGGGAACCACACGTCGGGGTGGCGGAGGGCAGCGCTCGGGGACACCTTAAATCCCTGGCTGCCGCCTTTAAAGGCCACCCGGGCCCGGGTTCTTTGTGCGGCGCGGCCAGGAGGAGGCGGAGCGGGGCGGCCGACGGGGCCATGCCCGCCCGCCCGCTCTCTGTCCCGGCGGCAGCGGGAACCGCGCGGCCCAGGCCGCGGGGAGGGCGCGAGGCCCGCACGGCCCCACTAGCCGCGACGGGTCTTCGGGCTCGCGGGCCGGGGCGCCGGCGTCAGGAGGCGCCCGCGGGGCCGGAGAGAGGGCGCGCGCGGACGGGGGGGAGACGGGGAGGGCCCGAAGGCGCCGCGCCCCGGGGACCGGGCTGGGCTCTCTCGCGGCGCGCGCGGGCCGCCGCCGCACAAAAAATGTCGGCGGGCGAAAAAATTAACCCCTGCGTCGCCGCCGCCGCCCTCCCCCTCCACTCCTCCCCCGCCCTCTCCTCCCTCCCTCCTTCCCCGGCCCCGCGCGGCGGCCGCGGCGGCGGCGGCGGCGGCGCGGGCGGTGCTTCTTTTTTAAAGCGGCCCCACCAAGCCCTGGCTCGGCCCCTCTCCAGGCAGCGCTGCAGAGCGCCGGCCGTGCACGGCTCCCGGCGCGCCCGGGCGGCCCGCGGGGGGATCCGCACGGCCGCCCTGGGCCTGCGGACGAATATTCCCCTTTAAGCCTGGTGTCTCGCCCCCCCTCCTCGAGCCAGGCGCTTACCGGTTCGCTTTGCGCCCTCCGCCTCCTCCCGCGAACGGGACTCCGCCGCTCCCACAATGCACCGGGCGCGGCCGGGCTCCCTTAAGCGTCGCCTGAATAAAAAGGCCTCTCCCGGCGGCGGCGCGGAGGGCGGGAGGGCCCCGGGCCGCGCCTGGGCGCCGCGGGGGCTCGGCCTGGCTCGGCGGGCCCCTGCCGGGAACCAGGGCCGCCGCGCTCCGCTGTGCGCCGCGCGCGAGGGGCCTTTAAGGGCCGGCTCCCTCCCTTTAAGAGGCGGCGGGCCGCGGCCGGAGCGGCTCGGTGGCTGCGTGCGGCCCGGGAAAGGGGGCGGGGGCGATGTGCAGGCCCGAGCGCGGCAATGATTGGTCTCGGGGGAGGGGTGGGGGGTTGCAAGCCCGAGGAGCGGTGGCATCCGTTGCATGATGCAAAAAGGATTGATTTCAAAAGTTGCGAGTTGCATTGGCAGCAGCCTTTGGCGCCCGGGCCACCTCCTTTTCCTTGACCCGCTGGAAGGGCCGGGAATGGTTTCCCAAAACCTGGCGGGATTCAACCGTGCTGCGTTCTGCGGGACGCTGTACCTGCTCCCCGAGCGCTGCCGTCGTTCCTACCGGCAGACAATGAGCACGGAGACAATTTGAAAATCGGGTGGGAGCAGAGGGAATGCCCCCTCTGCCGCGACGAAGGATTTAGAAACACAGACGGCGCGTTTGATTAATAACGATTCTCCTTTCTATTGTTCAGCCTGGCTCGGGAGCTCACACGAGCCTTGGTGAACACGCACACGTCCTGCGAAGTTTCTTGAACGTTTCATACGTTTGGTAGGAAGTCAGAGCTTAAGGTTCCTCAGTTACATTGTTTGCTCTCCACAGGTCCAAGTCAACATGGCAGCCTAGTACTGCATGTGTGTGAATGAACACCCAAGGGAGCGATTCAGCTTCTGAGATTACTTTTTTCAGGCTTTCAACTTTCTAATACATTGTTGAAGACAGTGAAGTAAAATGCTTTACTACGACGCCTTTTCGTGCTTCCCTTTAAACCGAGAAGTTGGAAACTCTGACCAATCTTTTCTAGAATGGTTCAGCATTTTCCAAATATATTTCGGGGCAGGAGTGTTTTTCTGTTTTGTTTCGTTTTTTAACCAAAAGGTGCTGTAGGTTCTGTTGTCAGGTTTGTAGGCTACGCAGATGCCTATTTCATTCTTAAAATTTCTGCTTGGCAGTTCCCCAGGGTTTTGATCTAGGTGCAATCTAGGAGACTGGGCTGTTGCAGGCTCCTCGCGGTCTTTTCTCCGTAGCCCTTCGGGAAGTTAGGAAAGAACACAGTAGCCTAGATTCTTTAATGTGATGTGTTGGACTTTTGTCAGAGTGGCATAACCTACTGGTTGACAAACCTAGATTTGCCTCTGAATCGCCTGGGGTAACCCACGTGAGGCACTCCCCAGGCAGCACTCTAGACGTCCAGAATCTGGGAAGGGGGATGAAGACCGCTTAATTCCTCTCATCTCCTTTTAAAATCGATTTTGTGAGTTGTCCGAGGCATTTTGGTATTATGTTTACTTTTTAGCAAAAAAAAAAAAAAAAGTCAGAACTGAAAAAAAGATCTTGGGAGATTAGGCGGAAGGTGGCTCACTCAAGAGAGGTGAGTAGGACCCTCTCTGAAGATCCATGTCTCATGCTGAGTTTGGTGTTTCTGCCATAGTCAGCAGAGTTTGGCAGATTTGGTTTTCACAAGCTTAGCTTGTGAAAGAAGGCTGTACCACATTTGGGAGGACATCCTTTCTCTGGCAGAAGGGAAAACAGGGCCACATCTCCAGTGAGGAGGGAATTGTGCAAGTCAGTCGTAGACTCGAGGGCATCTGACCCAAAGCTGCAGGAATTCGGACCTAGGAAAAAAATTTCAGATGATTTAGTGTGTGATCAGAAAAAGAAGTGTAAGAAGACCCCCAGATTTCTGGTTTGGGGGAAACAGGGTGAATAGCGAGGCTACTAGTTGAAACAGGAACTATTAGCAGGCAAACAAGTTTGAGGTGAGTTCAGCTTTGGAAATGTTAAATTTTAGGTGCTCACCCGATACACTAGGCAGAAGGTAATTGGTAAAAGGAGGTCTGCCACTTGGGGTGGGGGTGGACTCTGAGTTTGAGATGCAAATGTGGGGACCATCAGCATGTAAATGGGGTTTGTAGCCCCGGAAAGGGTTGAGATTAACCAGGAATGAGAGTAGAGGGGTAAAAAAAATGAAAGAGACCTTGGACAGAGCCCTGCAGAGCTTCAAACCTGAATGGCTGGGCGAGCCTGAGGCTGATCCCTGCTTTGTGTGGGAGACGAGCGTTCTCAGAAACCGCTCCTTCCTCCCCAGCCCTTGGGGTTGGACCCCTTTGGCAGCTCCAGAACACCTTGAGTCAAATTCTGCCAAGTGGAGTTTGTGGACTCTTACATAAGCCATGATACCTTAATGTCTCGGGATCAGATAATCCACCAGATCGCTCATCCTTCCCTTCCTTTACCCTAACACAAGCCTCTCTCTGTGCTTCCCCCCATCAGCTTTCTATGAGTCTTCCCCAGGGGGCTCATCAGAGTCACATCCTGTTGGGAACCATCCCCCTGCGGTCCTACCAGCTCCAACTGAACAGATGGTTCTTCTGGGTCACGTTACCTGCTGGAGGCTTGTTACAACTACGAATTTGCCAGCCCCACCCCAAAGATGATATCTATCAGGTGTAATGGGTGGAATTCTGACAAAGATTTTTTGCTTGGCTGAACCTGTAGCGGGTCTCCTGAACTTCCTCCTAGACCCATCCGTGCACTTCCTTGTAAAATCCAGTCTTAGCAAATCTGATCACCCTCAATGTCTGAACAGGGTCCTTGTCCTCCACCGTCACCCAGGCGCTTGATCACCCTGGTCTGCCTTCAGCAAGTGCTTCTAGAGCCGTGCTGTCCAATAAATATGGTAACTACTCTTTACAGTCCCTTTTGAGAGCTTGGAATGTCCCACATGTGATGTGCTCTCTGTGAAAAGCGCACTGGATTTTGAAGACTACAAACAAAAAATGTAAAATAGCTTAATGATTTTTATACTGATTCATCTTGAAATAGAATACTTCTGAAGCCAAATGGAGTCCAGAAATAAACCCACCCATAAATGGACAACTGATTTTTCTTTTAATTAATTTAATGAATTAATTTTGACTGTGTTGGATCTTAGTTGAGGCACTATCTAGTTGTGATGCTCAGGCTTAGATGCCCCACCTGCTGCAATGTGGCATCCCAGTTCCCTGACCAGCGCTCAAACCCAAGTCCCCTCCATTGGAAGGTGCACTTTAAACCACCGGACCACCAGGGAAGTCCGTGAAATAGAATATTATGGATATGTTTGGTTATATAAAATATATTATTCATTTCTTTTTTTTTTTAATGTGGTCATCTGACTATTTAAAGTGACACATGGCTCACAGCTTGTTTCTCCTAGACAGCTCAGCTCTGGGTGATGTCCCAGTCCAGAGCCCCAGACACAGGTGTTCCCATACTTACATGAGTGTTCCACAAACACTTCGAATTGAGCATGTTCCAGACCAAAGCAATTATTTCTCTTCCAACCCTGCCCACTCCTCCCCACCCCACCAACTCCTCCTCTATTTGGCATCTTGGCGGACAGATGATTATCTGCTGAACTGCTCGTGCCAGAACCCTGGCAGTCATCCCCAGTCTGCACGTGCTGTTATCCATCAGCTCTACCACCTTCATATTGTTCCCGCTTCATCCTGCTTCATATTGCTCCGCTCCCCTCCCACAGCCCCTGTCTCTCTGTTTATTTCTCATCTCTCCCCTCAGCTGTTGTAGAAGTCTCATGTATGGTATTTTTGCTGTGATTTTCACTGATTTCCAT